CAATACCCAGCCCTAAAAAATAACGACTTAATTTGACTACTCCTTTTCTTCCTTGTAGACCTGAGACGAGAGTTCAAGAGATTTCCACGACGCATGCGCGTCATTTTTGGGTGAACTATCCCTTTAAAAAATAACGAGTAGGTGCAGTACGGAGTAAAGCCAATAGTCAGTGTATTGCATTCAGCAGAGCCTCTGAGCTGCAGTGTGATTGATTGAGTGTCTGTTGTTTTGTGTGAGGAGGAAGATGCCCAGTTAAAGTTTGTGGAGGTAGTATCTCAGTAGTCTCAGAGGTAGTAGTTACTGTGCTATCAGCAATCTGCACACGCTCAGTCGAGTCAGGTCCTCATTAAAGGAAATCCTGATCAAACAGGACCTCTGCAGTCTTTTACAAACAAACACACTCCGTTTCTGTCTGTGTTCAGTGTATTTTAGTTTGTTGGTCGTCTATAGTGTGCTCAAAGGATTAACGTATACAGTACGTTCACTTTTAGGGTTATCCGCCATTCATAACTGACCTATGGCTAAGCCACGCCCTCAAACGCGATGAGCCAATCACGGTGCGCAGCTAACCCAATACACTCGGACATTCTCTGCTTCCACGTCCATTGAAATGCATTGCAAGCCTATTGCCATTTCTTAAAATTCCTTTGGCTTTAATGCACAAATATATTCAGTTTAAAAAAAAATATAGCTTATTTTTGTTTAGTATGAAACATCTGTGTTTGTTTGGCCCAGTGGATGTGGATTTGCCACACTTCTTCATGTTGTGATTATTGTCACTTCCGTGCCTCCAAACTGCTGGTGTAGAACAAAATCGATAAACATCCCAATTTTTTAGGCTTAATTAAGTTATCATTGATCTTTCCCCATGACACAACACATGCAGTGCGTTAACTCCAAACATATGGCAGCGAAACAGAAACCTCAATATGTCCGTCCACAAATCTAACCTACCTGACAGTTAATCAAGACAATTCATCCATTACTCGCCAGTACACACGCAACTGAAATGTGGTTTATGTAAGACTCAGACAGGCTTGATTAACATTGCTGTGGCTACACACAGGAGAAGTGGATTTGCAATTAATCATGCTGGTTTTTTTGTAATTGTCAAATATTTCTGAAAGAATAAAAGGCTCTATTCCAAAAGCTAGTCTACTGAGGTACAGGCAGCTGATGTGCAGTGTCGATGATCATGGGTTGCCTATAGGTAGCTTACTAGGATTTGCACCAAAGGGTTTTCTTTGAGAATGTGCTTATTGTATTTTATACTGAACTGTTAGCATATACCCTTGTGAAAAAGAAGCACACTTCTATGAAAAAATGCTTATTGGATAGAAAAAAAGATGATTGAATAGGCCTAAACATTTCAGATACATAACTGCAATGTTATTTACAATTAAATGAACAGTGTTTTAGTTTATATTTAAATAATTAGTTGAACTTAAAGGAGTAGTTACTTTTAAAACAACTTTTGCTGATAATTTACTCACCCCCATGTCATCCAAGATGTCCATGTCTTTCTTTCTACAGTCGAAAAGAAATTAAGGTTTTTGATGAAAACATTCCAGGATTTTTCTCCATATAATGGACTTCAATGGGAACCAAACGGTTCAAGGTCCAAAAGACAGTTTCAGTGCAGCTTCAAAGGGCTTTAAACGACACCAGACGATGAATAAGGGTTTTATCTAGGAAAAAAGATCTGTTTTGAGAAGACTCGATAAAAAGATTTGTTCATTTTGATAAACGAGTTTGAACAGGAGAGTCACGAACGCTCATCACAGAACAGAATAAGGCGAGCCTTTGTGCTTATAAAACTTTGTTATTTATTTATTAAATGAGCGATCGTTTCGCTAGATAAGACCCTTATTCATCGCCTGGTGCCGTTTAAAGCCCTTTGAAGCTGCACTGAAACTCTCATTTGGACCTTGAACCATTTGGTTCCCATTGAAGTACATTATATGGAGAAAAATCCTGGAATGCTTTCATCAAAAATTAATTTATTTTTTTGCGATGATTTAAAACTCTTTTAAATATAGCTACTTTAAAGTAAAGCGTACTTAAGTGTGTTAAAAAAACAGCCATGAAAGTGTACACTCTTTAAGTACACTTAACTCTTTCCACGCCATTGGTGGAATTTTTCAACTTTTAATGTTATATGGTAAGTGGCGCTAATATGCAAGTTTTGAAAGATTACAGAATCTCTAGGTCAAAACACAGGCAAAAAATGTATGTATATATATATATATATTGTTCAGATATACGACAAAATATTCTGAGGGCCATAAAATTTTGTAAAAATTATTAACAATCCTGGCAACTTTTTTTTTTTTTTTTTTTTTTTTTAAAGCTGGACAGGAAAAAGTTTAGTGGCCTTTTATATCATAAATATTATATAAACGGCAAATACATTTTTAAATAGCTACACCACAAGAGCACATTCAATACAAATAAGCACACTTCTTTATCAGGGATATGACTCGTGATATTACACTACTTATTTTAGTGTGCTGTATATATTATTCTTTACAGTACGACGTCTGCCAAGCAATTTTTAATATGTTGCATTGCATTGCGGTAGCACTGCTGTACTAAAACCATTAAAGGACATTAATGCATGAATGCTTTAATATGAAAACCAGCCCAGTGGAAAGGAGAGGCAAAAAAAAAAAAAAAGATTTAATCAGTTACTTTCCCTTCAGCATTCAGAAATGTGCCATGTGCAGCCTCCATTTATATTCTAACTACACAACTGAATCAATTTCTGCCTTGTGTTTTTGTACTTCTTCTGTCAGTCTATATTGCACATTTCAGGTCTTCAGAGCTGGCCTGGAAAAGCAGTCTGAGGTTTAGTTCTGTCACGACCACTATCGTCGAATACGATTGATATTAGCATACAGTTTGGATTTGGCGGTATACTTCTGTTTTAGGCGAGAACTCCCTGTGCTTCATACAGCCTAGCATAGATAAAAGCAATAACCCCCCTCAGGGTAAACAGAACAAAACCAACATGAATGTATTGCAGAAATCATTAATTCAAGATTTTAAAAGTATAACATGATTCAAGAAGTTTTTTTTTTTGATTCAATGGGAATCAGAATACCAAATGCTGGGGATAGAGAAGGGTAATCAGCTTCTGAGAAAAACAATAGCTGTTGATAATACTGAAGGAGCTTAGGCTATACACTCACCTAAAGGATTATTAGTAACACCATTCTAATACTGTGTTTGACCCTTTCGCCTTCAGAACTGCCTTAATTCTACGTGGCATTGATTCAACAAGGAAATGTTGGCCCATATTGATAGGATAGCATCTTGCAGTTGATGGAGATTTGTGGGATGAAGCTCCCGTTCCACCACATCCCAAAGATGCTCTATTGGGTTGAGATCTGGTGACTGTGGCGGCCATTTTAGTCCAGTCAACTCATTGCCATGTTCAAGAAACCAATTTGAAATGTTTCATGGTGCATTATCCTGCTGGAAGTAGCCATCAGAGGATGGGGACATGGTGGCCATAAAGGGATGGACATGGTCAGAAACAATGCTCAGGTAGGCCGTGGCATTTAAACGATGCCCGATTGGCACTAAGGGGCCTAAAGTGTGCCAAGAAAACCATTACACCACCACCACCAGCCTGCACAGTGGGAACAAGGCATGATGATCCATGTTCTCATTCTGTTTACACCAAATTCTGAATGTCTCAACAGAAATCGAGACTCATCAGACCATGCGACATTTTTCCAGTCTTCAACTGCGCAGCCCTCAGAGTACTTGGACGTGACTGTGATTACAAGAGGTAAAAACGATATAAATACTGTTCGTTTTCTCACACAAATCGCTCAATGTGTACTTCCATTTATGAGTCATTAAAGGGTTAGTTCACCCAAAAATGAAAATTAAGTCATTAATTACTCACCCCCATGCTGTACCAACCCCGTAAGACCTTCGTTCATCTTCGGAACACAAATAAAGATATTTTTGATTGAATCTGAGAGCTGGATCAGTCCTAGATAGACTGCCTAAGGGACTGCCTCTTGACGGCCCATAAAGTCATTAAAGAAAAGGTTTAAATATTCCATGTGCCTACAGCGGCTCAACTATAACTTTATCAAGCGACGAGACTACTTTTTGTGCGAAAAAAACATAAATAACGACTTTATTCCACTATTCCATTACTTTCTTATGGGCGCATGCGCGAGAACTGAGACGAGGACGTTCTCATTCGTCTACTTCTTGTTACCGGTTGCTCACCGCTTAGGAGTTTTACCGCCCCCTACCGTATAAGATGATGTGCTGATATAGCTGGAAGCGCAAAACTTTCTGTTTACAAGCAGAGGAAGATGCGCACTGTACATACGCTTTTCAATTAGCGTATTTTCCGCACTATAAGGTGCACTTAAAAGCCTTTAATCTTCTCAATAAACGACAATGTTCCTTATAATCCGGAGCGCCTTATATTTGGATCATCATTTTATACGGTAGGTGGCGGTAAAACTCCTAAGCGGTGAGCAGCCGGTAACAAGAAGTAGATGAATGAGAACGTCCTCGTCTCAGTTCTCGCGCATGCGCCCATAAGGAAGTAATGGAATAGTGGAATAAAGTTGTTATTTATGTTTTTTTCGCACAAAAAGTAGTCTCGTCGCTTGATAAACTTATAATTGAGCCGCTGTAGGCACATGGAATATTTAAACCTTTTCTTTAATGACTTTATGGGCCGTCAAGAGCCAGTCCCTTAGGCAGTCTATCTAGGACTGATCCAGCTCTCAGATTCAATCAAAAATATCTTTATTTGTGTTCCGAAGATGAACGAAGGTCTTACGGGGTTGGTACAGCATGGGGGTGAGTAATGACTTAATTTTCATTTTTGGGTGAACTAACCCTTTAAATCATGTTTAATTTGGACTTCTCTGTGCATGCTCTTTGAGGTGGTGACCATAGACCTCCATTATATGCCTGACAGACAAGAACGGTTTGACCTAAAAATGTCAAAATTGAAAATACTGTGGAAACAAAGACATGCCCCACATGCCCTTGAGGTAAGCTAAAACATACCAAAAATGTATTTCAAAGTGAACTATCCCTTTAACTAGCAATTTAGAGTGACTGGAAAAATCTCATGATCATGGGTAATTTATCTAGTTAGTCATTTGCAGGGATTGCTGTGTCTCTGTTATCAGTGAGACTCACAGAATGCCTGCAGTGACCAGGTGGGGGTGGTATAGTCCAGATGTTGAGTTTCAGTTCGTCTCGTCAGCAACAGCATCATCTGTAACAGAAACAAATACAGTGGTTGAAAGACGTACTTGAACAATTAAATCACGTCTGAAAATGTCATTCATTGGATTCAAAATATGTGTCATTTACAGCTAAATCTAGATGTATTTGTTTTCCATGTTTCGTGAAGCATTATATCATGTTAATAGTCAATTTGATGTACAGTGAGACCTTGAAGTGAACTGATTTCATACATCCACTAAAAATCATCAAAACAACACTTACTTAACTGTCACCGTCCCACAGGTGGGACGTTTGCCAATATATTTTTAAAACAATAATATCTTAGTAAATACCTTAAATAATATTGACAAACTATATATCATTTGAAAGCTTACAATCTCTAGTTTCCATATTTGGTGACTGATTTTCAAAATATATTACAGAGGAGCCATAATTTATCAATATAAAACAAGAATATTTTCATTCTCATAAGGCGTGTTCAGACCTTTATTTTAAAATAGCAGTAAACATGAAAAATCATGAAAAAATGGTAGATACCTCAGTTTGTTTTCATGCCAAAAGTTCAAAAGATAGAATCCATTCAATTATTTTGGAAAAAAAAGGTATGAAAAGTTTGAAATATCAAGAAAAAAATAATAAATTCACCATTTGTGACGTGTCAGCTAGCTATGACTTACATGCGTGTTCTTTGTATGTGTTTCTTAGAGGTTCAATTCATATCAAAATCTGCCAAACTTCCCATGCTACTTCTGAATAGGAGCTTTACTTCAGAAATTGTATGAAAATTGTGAAAATAATGGTTCATATCACTCAAAACACGAATTGAAATGCAGGCGCCCTTATATGGGCAGTAATGGAGTCTGATTGTGCCCTAGTGTAAAAGTTTGGTACTGCGCTCAAACAAAATCTCACTGAAAGCTCATTTTTTGAGATATCAACCTAAAATTTGAAACACAACTTGTTCAGATTTTTGGCTTTGATATTTCTGCCATTTTAGAGTAGCCCAGGTTTTGAAAATATGTATTTTATGTAAAATATGAATAATTAATATTTTTACATTGTACATTTCCATAAACTCAAACTTCTATAACTTTTTTTCTGTTTCACTTTCTTAATTTATTTCACTTCTACAAAAATCTGCCAAATGTCTTCTTTAAAACAAGACCAATCATATGTCTATATTCCAAAGCATTCTTGAATTACAACCATTTAAGTTCGAAATGTGCATTTTCATGTCTATTCAAAAAAGGGGGGGTGACAGTTAACAGGTTAAAAGACATTGTTTAAAAATGAAGTCAGTGAAAAGATTGTGCAGCATTTGAACACGGATCTCACTTGCTTTGATATTTTATGATCTAATGACATTCAGACAGGTCCAAAATAATGCATGGGTCTATTGTATATTGTATTTGAATTGTCTTTAGTTGTAGAGGAATTTCAATACATGGAGTCCATGAATAATGCATTTATTCTGAGATATAAACTGATTTTAAGTAGTATTGAGCGAACATGCTGTCAGTTCCTCTTTTTTTCACGGCACCACAAATGTTTTAATAATTTACACTGTTTTGAAGGTCTGTGTTGCTGCATGGAAAGCAGTGCGAGTCCTGAGAGGACTGAGTGTTCCTTCTGGACGCGCCAAAACGCCTGCTTTTGAAACCGGAGAGACAGACGCTCTGCACCGAGTATCCAGGCTACAGGTTCATGGGATACAACAAATAACAAAAGCGATGAAATGTTAATTGATCCGATGGACCCTCAGCGCGTTAACTGTCTATTTTTGGAAGATGATCACAGTCTCCATCTGTGATGCATGAGACCAGAGACCTTAGTGCACTAAAGTTTAGAATACTATTTTACAGCAGGAACAGTGCATTTCATATACTTTAAATGTTCTGTATGCAAACTCGGATTTGTTAAAATGTGCAGTATAAATGCACTAGAAGAAAAATGTTCTTTATAGAACCTTAAAAGGTTCCATCAGTGCTACGTATTTGGAACCCCTAAAAGGTTCTATACAGAATCATTAAGGGTTAAATAATTCTATATGGAACCTTTTGGGTTCATTCATTATCATTTATTTTTGTCCTTTCCGGATTAAATATTTCATATTATTAACGAACATCAATGTATTTATGAATGCATGTGAATGATCACAAAATTCATGGGGGTTAGAAAATGTATATATTTCTATCATTTTATGTAGTTAATCAATACGAAGAATCGTGTGAAAAATCACACGAAGAGTGCCATTTCAGTTTTTCTCCTCTAAAAATCATGCATGATTAAAATGTGATATTAAGTTACTAAGTTTAATAAACAATAATTGAAATGTTGCAGGTAATATAATATATGAATGACAAATAGCCTATAAAGAACCTTTGTGGCATTATAGAACCTTTTTTAGCATAAAAGCTTCTTTGGAGTTGAGTAAAGAACCCTACGCTTCATGTATAGAACCCTTTTTTACTGTAAAAATTTATCGTGATTTTAACAGTAAAAGACTGTAAAAATGCTACAGTGAAAAACTGTTAATTGGTTAACATAACCTTTCCTTACTATATACGGTAAATAACTGTGATAAATCTTATGGTAAATTTTATGTAATTTTACTGTAAAATACTGTTAAATTTACAGTTTTTAAAGTGAAAATGAACAACTCATTGTATAATTTACAGTGAAAAAACGTATTTTTTGCTGAAATAACTTGTTTCTTCATAGTTTGCTTAGTCTTTTTCTGATCAGTTAGGTACATTAGGGTTTTATGTTCTTAACGACTTTAGTGATTGAAAGAACTACAATTCCATGAAGCATTGAGAACAGCACAAACAATGGAGAAGTATAAAACTACTCATTTAAAAATGTTGATTTAATATATAACAAACAAAACATGTAATATTTCAGTATTTAGAGAGCGTAGTGAGATGCTTCTTGGAAGTGACCCAAATTTGGGTTGAAACAACCCAGTATTTTTTAAAATATTATCATAAAAATGATTATAATTTGATTTAACTTTAATGATTTTTTTTATTGTGTCACATAATGATAATTTGAGCTTAAAATGACACAAATAATGTGACAATGCAAACATGTTCCTAAAAAAATTGTCCTTTTTTATTTGTGATAGTATCATTTATTTAGAACAAATGTAACAAATTTTATTCATGATATTTGCACCTTTAGCTTTGTGCCATAGGATATTGTATTTAGACATTTTCAAAATGTGCACTGTAAAAAATAAACCGTAAATTTTACAGTAAAAAAACGGCAGCTGTGGTTGCAAGAACATTACCGTTAAAAATACGGTAGGAACGTTAATGGTTTTACAGACTTAACTTAAAATTTACAGTAATAAACCGTATTTTATTTTCTGATAAAATGTTAATTTACATTGTAATACACTTACAACCATCAATCATCACAGCAGTGATGAGAGTTACTTGAGCAATCACAGCTCATCATAAGTGATTACTTATTTAAGTAATACTTATATAAAGAAGCGGCACAGTGTCATTCACACAAACATTAAACACCATCATGGTAACACACATGAAATTAAAAAATGCAATAAACATTAATTTAACAACATTAAATGTAACATAAAACCCTAATGTACATAACTGATTAGAAAAAAAACAATAAAACTATATAGTTATTTCAACAAAAATACATCAAATATGAAGTCACACAGGGAATTGTGGGAATGTCAATTTACGGTTTTTCACTGTAAATTATACAATGATTTGTTCTTTTTCACTTTCAAAAACTGTAAATTTAATGTTATTTTACTGTAAAATTATATCACAGTTATTTACCGTATAAAGTACGAAAACTTTCTGTTAACCAATTAACAGTTTTGCACTGTAGCATTTTTACAGTCTTTTACTGTTAAAATCACGGACATTTTTTACAGTGTGTCTATTTTTTAGACATGGAATGATTTGTGTCTCTGTCCATGTTTAGCTCTGGATCTAAAGAAAAAGGAAAAGGCTGGATTAAGACAAGAGATAAATATGAGTCTGTTGGTCAAGGGCATTTCTTGCTGCAGTGCTTCAAATGGCTTGTCAACTGCAGCAATTCCATAATTAACGGATGAATCCCAGCATGATGGAATGGTAGCTCCGGAAACACGTGGATGGAAAAGAAAAAGATCCCATGCCAGCAGGGTGAGTTGTTTAAGAGACGGACCGGTCTGTGATTTCCATAGGCGCTACTTGCTTGTAATGAGAGACTGTTACCTGCAGGCCCGCTTTACAAGCATCTGACTCACATTTGAGACACCTGGAAATAATAATTCCAGCGGCCAGAGAAGCGTGAGGGTTGTTACGGCACTCAGGAACAATGTCAAGTCTTTATGAAACCGTGTGCTGACCAGACATTTGTCATGGAAGATAAAAGCCTTTGCCTCATGGGTACCGCGGTGCATTGGTCCGCTTTGCCATCACATGAGCGTATGCCTCATAAATCATCGTTTCGTCCCGCTGTGGCACTGTCGAATACTTTTGCTTGACTTATCTGTATCTTATAAGCGGCAACTAACAAGTGCGTCTGTTTGTATGACATAAGTTGTTCTATTTGTGTTATCAAGAAATTAGGGCTGTCAAACAATTAATCGCGATTAATCGCATCCAAAATAAAAGTTTGTGTTTACATAATATATGTGGGTGCATTATTTTATATATATATATAAATACACATGCTTGTATATATTTAAAAAAATATTTTCATGTATATACTGTATAAAGATTTATATATAATTTCTTATATATAAATATTTTATATAAATTATATATTTTTCTTAAATATACATGTGTGTGTGTGTGTGTGTGTATATATATATATATATATATATATATATATAATTATACACAGTGCACCCACATATATTATGTAAACACAAACTTTTATTTTATATGCGATTAATCGCGATTAATCGTTTGACAGCCCTACAAGAAATTAATACTTTCATTCAGGAATTAATTATTAACATTAAATTAGTCAAAAGTGTTGCTAAAGATTTTTACATTGTTTTGAACTTTCTATTTATCAAATAATCTTAAAAATGTATCACAGGAGTACAGGAATAAATTACTCTTTAAAATTTACACTATTAGTTATAGTAATCAAATTGAATACTGTATTTTTGATCAAATAAATTCAGCCTCGGGCATTAGAGACGTCTTCCAAACACATGAACTCTTTTTAAGTTAAAATATAATTTATAAATGTTGAAGGTACACTATGTAACTTTTTTTGTTTTTGTTTAAAATATGTTAATCAGTTCGTTATTGCGGTGCATTGTGGGATTGAATAAGCGCACTCGATAATGGTTTCGGACACCACTACAAATGGGTGTCCCCTCAAACAGTGGTAAATATAAATTGAAAGGGTGCTCATGTCAATTATTGAACTGGAAAACTTGCATTTATGATTTCTTAAAGTCGGCTGGCAAAAAGAAAGCGAGATGGAGCTCGTAATAAAACAAGAACCGACATAGGCTAGGCTTTTCGGAGGGATTTTAAATGATTTAAAAGCGATACAAAGAGGGTGTTTTCATTAATCAACATGCGAGTAAGGTGTTTTATTGAACAGATAAATTGCCACATTTAACTCTAACAGAGTTCATTGTGAAGCATTATCTATTGTGAAGATCATTTAATTATGGTTGTTGTAACTATGCTGGAACTTATTTTTCCATCGAATTGTTGCATGTCTATTAAGTGTCTATTAAGCTTGACAGCTTGAGATCCTTTCCATCGAAACTGGTTATATCTCACAACCAAACATGCATGCAGTTTTGCTTTTGAACAACTAGAGGGCCAAAAGTTACTAGTGTACATTTACAGTACATATAAGTATATTGCATATTGTGTGACTTAAATCAAATACTATTTATACAGTGTGATTTGTTATACTCGATGTGTGATTCTTCTGTGCAAATGCGCTTTGTGACGGGATTAGAACTGTTGTGCTTTCCACTGTAGATATATAGTCTGTTTTTGAATATTTCTCAGCCCTTCTGAGCCATAAATAAGACAGTCAGTTTGTGGAAACAACCGGCATTCTTGAAGACCTGTGTCTGCTTCTGGCAGGACACTTCCCCGAGAGTGAACTTACACAATTGGTTGCTGTACACTAATAATGTCAGCTAGATATATGGAGTGATAGACGGAAAAAGACAAGCACACCTGACAGTATCGTAAGTTGTAAGCACTGCTGTGCTCTCATGGAAGTTAGTTGAATGTTAGACTAAAATAAAAATGTCTTTGTGCAGGGGGTGGGAAACTCTGACCGTTTGTAGGTGTCGTCTGAGTGATTTAGGAGCATCTGGGTTTTTTAAGGTTGTGGTAAAAGGAAATTGTGTAAATGATCCTTATAACCGAGACCCACAGAAGCCGAGGCCCATCTTAGACTGGATTTCATTTCCAGGCTGGTTTTAATGGAGTTTAGAGCTGGTTTATTAGGGCTGGTGGACCAGCAAAACCATCCTGTGAAGATGCACGTTCCCACGGTCACGAAAAACCTGAAATAGTTTAATTTGGCCGGAAAAGTCTTAGACACTTTTTTTTTTTTAATCTAGAAATTGCTTTTCATGAGTGCAATCTCTAAAAAAAAAAATGATATCTAGTATTCAAAAACTATTTGGAAAGTCATAGAAATGCATTGGTCTTTGGTGTGGAAACCCTAAACTTGTTGTCCACGGTAGTGAAAGAAAGAAAGAAAGAAAGAAAGAAAGAAAGAAAGAAAGAAAGAAGAAGAAAGAAAGAAAGAAAAAGAAAGAAAGAAAGAAAGAAGGAAAGAAGGAAAGAAAGAAAGAATACTATTAAGAAAGAAAGAAAGAAGAAAGAAAGAATACTATTAAGAAAGAAAGAAAGAAAGAATACTATTAAGAAAGAAAGAAAGAAAGAAAGAATACTATTAAGAAAGAAAGAAAGAAAGAAAGAAAGAATACTATTAAGAAAGAAAGAAAGAAAGAATACTATTAAGAAAGAAAGAAAGAAAGAAAGAATACTATTAAGAAAGAAAGAAAGAAAGAAAGAATACTATTAAGAAAGAAAGAAAGAAAGAATACTATTAAGAAAGAAAGAAAGAAAGAAAGAATACTATTAAGAAAGAAAGAAAGAAAGAAAGAATACTATTAAGAAAGAAAGAAAGAAAGAATACTATTAAGCCATCTGTACAACATTTGTTGTTTTCTATAAAAGGTTTCAACACGTTCTCTGCTCTATGCGCAATTTTCTAGGATCTTGAGAAATTTTGTGAACACTGATATATATATATTTTTTTAATTCTTTATTTTATTTACAATGTTTTGCCTGTTTAGTTGTCATCCATGTACAAAAACAACTCTCTTGACTCGGGCCCCGCTGGGCTCATACAGGCCTTCACCAGCATCCATAACCTGACTATACTGGTGTTTCAGTGCAGCTTTTGATCATTAACTTTCTCCTTAATGCTCTCATGCTTTTTTTTATGCATCTGACAATCTAGTGTCATCTGTCAAAGACTAAAGACAGACTAAACATGAGTTTCCGCAGCATACATCCAACCAAAAAGGCCCCAATCTGACCATAAATCTTCCTTAATGCATGCCATAAATATTTACTTTGACATTACTTCGACTATAGAAGCAATGGGTTTTTTTTTGTTTTTTTTTTGTCATAAGTTGTAACTTGAAAATGGCTATATATATGGGCTGTCAGACGATTAATCGCATCCAAAATACACATCATGTAAACACAAACTATTATTTTGGATGCGATTAATCGTTTTACAGCCCTAATTATATATATATACACAAACACACAAATATAAATATTAATCAAATAAAAACTAATGCAAAATGGATAAATAGTGTTAATATAAACAAACATAAAATTTTTCAAAATATGACATGTTTTTATTTATATATATATATATATATTTATATATAAGCTATATATTTTTTGTCAAAAGTGAAAACGGTTAATCTAATTCTTTTATATAAGATTACGATTCATAGTTTTGGCTTGGTTATTCTACAACTAGAGGTTTGTTTGCATTTTGACAATGTTTTGGGTTCATACATAGCACCTAATTATCTTGGAGAGCACTCTTGATTGGTGCATTTTGATAATGCAAATGCAGGCAAATGGACTTGAATTTAAATTTAAATGCATGTAAACTGTTTGTTTGCAGATGTTTCTAAGTCGCTGTAGTGATGTAAATAAATATGGCAAGAATAACGCACCCACTGATGTCTAATTCTGACCTCGTTCCAAACTTTTGGCCGTTCCCGGGAAAGCCCTGACTTCATTTCAGGTGCATTTCTTTCCAGTCCTTTCACGGGATGACTTCACCTCACTGCCAATGCGATGTCGTCAGCTCACCGGCGTGCTTTAGTCATCAGATGTACCAGTGTCAAGCTGCAGACTAAACACAGACCGCTATGAATCTCCCGCTGCACGGACTGTGGCTGCAGTCACATTGTAGTTTCTGATAAATGTGAAACGCTAATCACGCCGGTATTAAGATTTGTCAGGAGCGAACTCCATTAGGAGCACTTAAAGCAAACACAACTTATTTTGTAGGATTTTAAAACTCATTCTCAGACATGCGTGAATGTAAATGATTATGTGCAGTCTGGGAATGACTTTGAAATCAATGCTAAATGCCGAACGTTTTCCGGATTGTTTGTTGAGATGGTTAGTTGAAATCAAACCGAGTACTTCAACTTTTTTGGAGTTGGTAAGATATTTTTTTTTTGGGTGTGTGTTTGTTTGAAAGACGACAGTAACAAAGATCTTCAGTGATCTTCCAAAGAAATGCACTGGTTAAAATCACTATTACTATTGTGCACACTTGGGGTTAGGGGTTTGTTTAAATCACTAACACTAAGTATTAAACTTTGTTTGACTGATTTCGGACAGACTTTTGCACAGCGAAATGGTTTAATGATCTACAGCAAAATAGAGAGAGCTTTGGTGAAAACTAGAGCCCGACCGATACAGGATTTTGAAGGCCGATACGATACAAATATTTTTGGGTTTTAAAATCCGATATTCCGATATATCGGCCGATATTTGAAGAGTTCAGATGCAAAAGCCTCTAAATGCCATTTGAAATTTTCTTCTTGAATGATGATTTTTATCAAACTTGTATATTTAAGTTCAGTAATTTCACTTATATAACAATTAATAGGTAATTATCATTGCCATTTAAGTGAGATCACTGAACTTAAATATACAAGCTTGATAAAAATGATCATTCTAGAAGAAAATTTCAAATGGCACTTAGAGGTTTTTGCATCTGAACTCCTCATATATATATTTTTTATTAAATATTGTTGGATTTCACACACGTGAAAAAGAAAAGCTAACTTTTCTGCACAAGATACGTTTGATACTTTTTCTCTATGTCTAAATGTTCACTCCTCGCAAGTCTAACTTACATTTTACAATGCAGGGACTGTAACTAGACATATGCTAGTTATAAATACAGTAATCATTACTTTATTTAGGCAGAAAAAGTTCATTGTTGTTTTCCAAGCTCATTAATGTTAACGTTAGCGGTCTTCCACTGATGATGGTTGCATTAGCTAGCTTTGTGGTTAGCTAGTCTAAGATGAGCCATAATTTAGCAATAGATAACATTGTAAAACATACATTTTCAATATAACAGGCCAAGGAGAGATGATTAAAGCGTGTTTCGTCCATTTTTATTTTATTTTTTAAATATTCATTTATCGGCCATTATAACTGCCGATACCGATATTTTGGAAAATGCCTAATATCGGCCGATATATCGGTCTGGCTCTAAGCGAATATTTAATTACTACAATAGCAATGTCTAGCTAGAAATGACATCAAAAGTGGAAAACGTTGGTCAAAAACGTACATTTACACACAAAATGTCTCTCAAATTTCAGACGCCATCTTTCTTTTATAGCTCAACTGCACCAACGCTCTCTCGGGCTGTGGGCGGGACTGTGATGCTCTGTGCATCGGGCACCGTAATCAACAAAAGCAAGGACTTACAAACCTGTTAGTACTAGAAGATCCCATATGGAAGACATCGAGAAGAAACCCTAAGGTACTTCACACACCTGAACCTTTACTAGCTCCATGCTGGGATGTTTAAAGGGACCACAATGGAAATAAGTCTTCGGGCTTTATTGTGTTATCCCTGACTACTTTTGTATTTGTTTTTTAATGTATGCAACAGTTTCTTACTGTTCTTCATATTTTTATATTTAAGTGGTCAAATAAATCTAATCTAATCTAAAGTCATAACTGCGAGTGATAATAGCCTCCATTTATCTTTCAAGCGCCCTGAGCACATACTGCACTACCCATAGACATATACACTAGACCTCACCTTGGGGTTCTAAGCATGCGTCAAAACCGCCGCCATCTTGGAACAGGGGTCTTGTCATAGGAAGTAGCTAGGTAACGCTGCTATCTCTGCCTTTACGTCGAATTCATTGATGGTGGCGGACTTTTGTGCAGCGTATGATGTTCACGGATGAAATCTGAACTAGGAAGAATGTTTAAAAAAAAAAAAAAAATTTTCTTTCTGGAATCAATGATGAATACATGTCTGACCGTTGGAACAAACCAAAAAAACAAGAAAAATCGCATTCATGATGATTTATGGTGATTTTATTTGCGTTAGACCTGTGTCTACTACATTGACGCTGATGCATTAAAGTGGAGGGGCTCCCCTGTTTCAAGATGGCGGCTCTATTGACGCATTCGTTCCAATGAACTGCCGTAGCCA